TCCCATCCAGTATGAAAAAAAAGAGACATCTTGTCTCCTGGCTCTATATCCTGCGAATTAAGGGGATGAAAAAGGATGGAGAAAAACAAATTGTCTCCCAAAACCTCCTAAGTGGAGTGGGGGGGTGGGGCGGAGACTGGAAAGAAGAAAAAAGAAGGGAGTATGCACAACTAGCCATCTGAGCAACCCTTCTTGGCTCTGTGAAGGTGAACAAAGAGAGATCTAGTGGAATCAAAATCAACAAATTCCACCAGATTCTCCATCATGGCACAATTTTTAAGCTTTACTCTAAAGGCCATTGTGCCCTCCCCAATAAAATAAACTAAAAATTTTTAAATTAAAAAAAAATTTAAGACTGACTAGTCTTAAATTAAGACCATCACCCCACCCCACCCCCCAGGGAAGGAAAGATGATGAATATAATTTAGTTCCAAATGAAAAGCATTTTTAAGGAAAGTACCTATGATGCTTTCATACTACCCCCCCAAAAAAAATACCTTCAATACCTCATTCTCCTATCCCTGTCCAACATTTCCAAATGGCATTGGGAAAGCAGAAAGGGCTATTTGTCAGAGAAAATTTGGTGAATTAGACTCTCCTGGGCTTCACATACCACAGGGTCCTCCATTGCCCAGGGACTGCTAATTTAGGAGGTTGGCCAAGTAGCTTCCATGAACAACCTGGGCGGTGGGTTGGGGATCGGGGCAGGGAGTGTGGCCCTGGTATCTAGGAATGAGTGAGAAATGGAAAGGAGATAAGAGAGAACTGGCTTGGCCTGAAGATAATCATGGTCTGCTAGCTCAGAAGATAGGGGCTGAAAATGGAAAGGGTGTGGGAAGGGAGTTTGGATGGGGACTAGGTCATCAAGATAAACTGCTACTTAAAGGGACACTGTCAACATTCCCTTCTCCTTTACCCTCCCTCCCACTCCCCCACTTTCAAGCTGTGTTTGTGAACTCCAAGAGGGCTGGGTCCAAAGAATCATGGTATTGTTTGGTAAAAAACCTCCAATAACAGGAAAAAAATGATAAAGGTACTTGGAGCAGTAAGTCAGTGGAAGCTCTCTGCTCAAGTGGCCTAGCACAAACCAGGAAAATCCAACCCAGGAGCCAGCTAGCTCCTAGCATTCCAAGAAACACAGCCTAGTGGGGATGGGGCAGGAGGCATTGCCCCAAGGACAGTCAGGCCAAACTAGAGGAAAAGGAAGAGGGGAGAATTGGCATGCTTTTCTTTGAGCTCCATGACCCTGAACCCCACTCCAAAGTCCAAGGATAATACAAACAGGAGGTTGACAGAGTCCCTTTAAGTTTCATCCGCTCTCCTGGCACAGGGCAGCTATTCTGATTAACCTTTCCTTGTTTGTCTGGTTTTCAACATCTTTCCTGTGTCTTGTTATCTACCTCTCTTCCTCCCTCTCCCTCTTTCCCTCTTTCAGTGATATGGCAGACCAGGGCCCATCTCACAAGTTTTGTTTCAGGTCCCTCAGATGGATGCAGAGATTCCAGTTCCATCCTCTTTTGACAACATGGTTCCCCTCCACTCACATATCTCAATCCCTCTCTCCCATCCCCTTCAACCATGTAATGTTTTGTTACCAAGTGTTCTAGGCAGGTTCTGATCTAGCTCCTGTTTCTCCATTCTTTTCTTCCCTTCCCCTTCCCCTCTAACAGAATTTGAATTAACAGATTATAAAACTGAATGTGTGGGTAGGGTGGTGGGGATCCCCCTGGGTTGAGTCAGACCCTGTTCTGCCTACAGTGATGGCATTTGTATTCAGAGATACTTGATAGTATTTTCAAAAATCCAGTCTTAAGAGTAGGGGGGGAAAAGTACCATAAATACTGAGTCTTCCTTTTCTATGTCTCCCAGCTCCCCTAAAGAGGCTCTCGATATTTCCTCCCAAAGCAAAAATTAGCGGATCAAGAGGGCATTTGTTTTGTGTTTCCTGCTCTAGGTGTGTAGAAGAGACTGGTTTGGTTTGGTTTTTTTTTTCTATCTCAGAGGTTCTGGCTTTTTCTGAGATGCTCCAGAGAGCCAGTAAGGAAGTCATGATACAATCTGACCTTCACCTAACCTCTGTCCCCATCAACCTCTGCTCCACCATCTGGCTCTTCCCAAACCCCTTTGGAAGCTGTGCTTTACTTCCCCTTGGCAGAACTGCCTGGGAATGGAGGCTTACCCTTTCCCCATGACCTGACTTTCCACATTAAGAATAGCAGCCGCCTAGGACAACATGTCTTTCATTCCCTCTGGAAACAGGGCACAGCTGGGAAGTTAGGAGGTTAAAGAAGCTGGATATAGCCAGGCGGAGATAAAAGAACCCAAGTTCTTGCCTTATGAAAATACATATACATATATATAGCATAAATATATATGATATACATGTTTATTAAATGACTGAAAAAGTGACGGAAATGGTGAAAATATCTTGTAGACTCTTAATGAGTCTGTGGTAAAGAGATGTTTATTCATGAAGAATTTGTGAATCAGACTCCTGGGTTTCATATTACCCAAAGGATCTCTCCAGTGCCTAGTACTTGCTAATTTAGAGGTTGGTCAGGTGGCCCTGTGTTCAGCCTGAGGAGTGGGATGGGGAGGGAATGTCCTTTACCACATAAGACACCTCGAAGAGCTAACTTAGAAATTACATGGGGATGTTCCGTGAAAAGGCTAATGAGCTCAAGTCATAGAGGAGCTGCCCTTAGCCTCAACCCAGTTACAACTGTCCTGGGAGACATCCAGGCATTTCCCTCAACGCCTGCTGCCACACGTCTGAGATAAGCGCAGGGAAAATGAATAGTGCAGCCTGAGCCTCTGACCCTACCCCTGAGTAGCATTACATCCACCATCGCTAATTCCTAGAATTCCCACCCCCTAGAAGCTCCACCTATGGGGGAAGGGGGAATTCAGAGGGTGCAAAAATGTAATATACACACACTCCTTCAGTAACATAAAAGAAGGTGAGGGAACCAGGGGCCTGTTAAAGAGTAAGGAAGAAGTTTGGGCTCTAAATAGCTGTGGGGAGATTCCTTTCATCATCCCTCCAGAAATCTCAAACTTGTCTGCCCAGCCCTCTCCCTAGGGAATCCCCTCTCTTTCTCTCCTTTTCTAGCAGACAAGTCTCTCTGTGGCCTACCCTTCACAAACTGCAATACTTCCCCTCAGCAGGTTCAAGTAATGATTCCAGTGTTACCTTCTGAAGGCCTCTCTAATGGAATAGAAAAAGCATAGAATCCATAGGCAGTGGCCAGGTATGTTCTGGGCCATCCTTGAGGAGCGTTCTCATTTGGCCACTGGGGAATGACAAACAGGATTCTCTCCCCCACCCCCCGCCCCCAGCCACCATTTGCCAGCATACTTGATATGTGCTCTATGCATGTTTATGATGGGATCCCAAATCCCCAAAGGTTGAAGTAGTGTCCCTCTGAGGTCCCTTCCAAGTCTATCCATGTACCACTATAGAAATTAATTCTCAAGCTTAACCTACTGATTTTCTCTTAATTGCATTATTTTTATTCCATGAAATTCAAAGTTGATTTGTGGGCACTTTTCATGTTACTCACCCTCGTTAGTGGGGTGACACTAATGGTTCTTCTAGTCACAAGCCACTACTACCTGGCATGCCAAGCACCAAACTTTCGGGTTGTGGCTCTCAGGGTATCCTCCCAAATGCTATCTTGAGGGTGTAAAAGGGAAAATCATAGTCTGACAGGGTAGACTACATAGTATTGTAGATACTCATCACTGGTAGATAATGGGAAAGGCCCAGGTACCTGGTGGGAAACCATCACTTTAGAGCTTTGAGGATAGTCTTGAGACAATGGGACCACCTTCCCTTTGTTGTCAGGCTATCCTCAGGTATCATCTGGGGACATAGAGATGCCCCCCTTTTCTAGATCTAAAATATAAAACCCATATCCAAATTCATATGCTGTCCAGCACCAACTCAGACAAAATTCTGAGGTAGGTGAATTTTTTTAGGCATCCTCAACTTCCCTCCTCCCTTTTCTGTGCTCTTTTCCTTCTTAATTATACCTCCTCTTTCCCTTTACCATCTCTAGAAGTCCAATGACCTGCTCTTCCCCTCATTTTTATCCCTAAGGAAACCTAGTCTCTGGGAAGAATATGATAAACTCATTCACACAGAGAGTGTTTAATATGTTAACTCTCCCCAGGAATCAATATCTGACTGTGGAATTCCAGGCATCAACAGATGCTGGGTGGGGACCAGGAGGAGGGGTATTTATTAGCCCTGAAATACCCACATGCTACCTACACATGAGACTAACTGGAACTGTTTCCTTTCAATAGCAAAGCCTGTGAAGGCTGGGATTTGTATTTGATGTGAATAGGGTCTAGCTCATTGTGAATGTTTTCTTCATCTAAGCCATCATTTATTTCTTCAACCTGCCCTCTGCGTGAGCTACCTCGGAGCTAAGTAGACTAGATTATCCCATTGAGGTGCAGTTATCTTGGTTTTTAGTGCTTCTCTTAACCTCTAGCATCATCCATGGGACCACAGCCCCATTGATCATGATTGCCAGTTCCCTTTCACTGCAGTCTCTGAGATGGGCCCTGCTAACCAGTAAGAACTGGAGTAAGGGTTGGTAGGGTGAAGGCCAGGGAGATGCTGAACTGAGTGGAGAATAGAGACCCTGGACAATCTCAATTTAAACTTTCCACTCCCCTTCTTATTCCTCCCCTCTTTCCCCTAATTCCCCTGAAAAGGAAGTCAGTAGCCTTTCTCCTGCCTGCCCTTAGAGAGGGTGGATTAGGAGGGATGCTGGGATTAGGTAGGGATGACCAGGAAAAGGGAGAGAGAGGGCTTAGACCAGACACCCCACCACCACCCTCTTTCCCTTCCCTTGTGCTCCTGGCCACACAATTTTGAGATATGAAACTCCAGCAGCAGAAGGTGATGCTAATGGTGATGTTACACTGTTTTTGTCTGTCTAACATTCCTTTTTAATCCCCATCCTGCCTGCCCCTCCCTTATGTAGGGTTACTTTAGTGATCCTTGGAATGTTTTTGACTTCCTGATCGTAATTGGCAGCATTATTGACGTCATTCTCAGTGAAACTAATGTGAGTATTACTCTACCCTTCCCAGGATACCACCTTCTTCTCCTACCTCCTCCTCCTTTTCTTCCTCTGTTTCCCTTTCTCTCTCTCTCTCTCTTTTCATTTTCTGTATTCCCCCACTCCCACCCTCTAGTCATTGCTTTTGTTGAAGCCGCCGTACTTCTGGGGGAAAAAAGCAGGAATTTCTCCTCCTTTTTTTCCTCCCACATGTCCCAGCTCTGCCCTGCTGTGATGGGTCCCAAGTGCACAGAAATGAGTTGGAAGGGAGCGGGTGGGCCTACCCATCTGAGTGTATGTAACCATTGAACTAACCCACCTTTTGTTAGTCCTCTCCGCCTGCCCTCCGAACCGAACGTGACACAGGTTTCAGCTGCCAGACTTATAGAGTGGTTTAAAAAAAAGAAAAAGAAAAAGGTGATTGGAGATGCCCACCGTAACCTCTTTCTTTTCTTATTTTTTTCTCTTCTCTCCCTTTCATGCTTTTTATTTTTTTTTATTTTCTTTTCTTCCTTTGTTGTTGATTTCTTTTGTTGTTTTTTTTTCTCTTCTCTTTTTTCTCCTGGCTTCTCTGCCACATGCAGCACTATTTCTGTGATGCATGGAATACATTTGACGCCTTGATTGTTGTGGGTAGCATTGTTGATATAGCAATCACCGAGGTAAACGTAAGTAAATGGCGTCTGTACCTAACTGTCTGTGCCTGCTCTAACACTCATTTGTCTTTAGTAATTTTTCCTCCCCTCCCCCTCCTATGTTCTTTTTTTTTTTCTAAGGGGGATTTGGTTTGTTTGGGTTTTGTTTTTGTTGTTATTCATTTAAATTATTCTTTTTTGTTGTTTCTTTCATTTATTTTTCCCCCCTTATTTGTGAATGAGTTCAGATTTTTCTCCCCTTTCCTTATTTTATTTTTTAACTGTTGCATCTTTTCCTTTCCTCTCCCCCCCCTTCATAATCAGCCTGGCATGAATCAAAACTGTATGGCAGGAAGTAGCCAGGGGCGTGTGGAATGAGAAAGAGGTGGGAGTTTTCCAACTGCTGGGCAGCTGCTGGGGCAAGGATCTGTACCCAATCTGACCCTCCTTCTTCAGAGGAAGGCCAGGTCTGCCTGGGCACCCCAGCCCTTTCCGCCCCACAGCCTGCTGAGCACCAACTCTTTCGAGGTGGGCCATGCAAGGAATCAAAGCTGGAATCCTCACTTCCTTTAGCTTTCCATAAGCCAAGGAGCATCCTGAATAGAGTCTCCCTTAATTTAAGCTTCAACAGCCTTTGAAGCGGAAAGCTTGTCTGGCTCCTCTTCCTGGAACCCTTCCTCAAGTTGGGGAGCCTTGATTCTTTATCCTCTGGATCAACTGATGATTTGAGTGGTCAGATATCACACTCAAATATCTGTTTGGTCCATTGCAAAAGCACATTGCTAGAGCCTTAATAAAACCATGTGGCTGTAACCATAAAACCAGGCAGCTGGTTCCTTGGCACTTTTCACAGTTCTGTCCCCATTCACCCTAGCCTCGGATGAAAGATGACCCTGGCACCCCATACTCTGCGGCCGTCTGCCCCATCCCCTCTAAAGAGTTCCCTCCTACTATACAGTTCCTATCGATTTCTGCACATGTCTCTTCGTTACCTGGCATGTTTAAATTGCCTATCTCTTTATAGGCAAGTCTTTCTTAATGTGTGGTTTTTTTGTTATTATTTTTCTTTAATTAAGAAGCTTAATAACGTATGCTTACTCCTCTGATCCAGTGAGTGGTTGAATAACAGCATCAAGCAGTAGTTTTAGAATGAGTTTTGATCTAAGATATTTGAAAGTACCCCACCCACCCAGTACAATCCCTACTATCTCCCATCCTACTGTATTTGGTTCTCATACTCCCAGCCAAGTTGAAAAAAATACCTGCCTTGTTTCCCTGCCTACAATTCTGTTCCACCTCTGGCAGGTGAACTGTGGGAGGAGCAGGAATGCCCTTCAAAACCTGCTCATCTTTTACCTTTCTTCTCCTATTCTCCTTCCCTTCCCATTGCCTGCCCCCCCCTTAATTGTCACCTCTCTTAACAGCTGTGATAGGTCTTTGAGGAGTCAACCCTGTTCCTCTGACCCAAAAGAGCTGTCTATATCTGGGAACCCCATATGTCTTCTTTTGTGTGTGTGTGTGTGTGTGTGTGTGTGTGTGTGTGTGTGTGTGTGTGTGTGTCCCCTTTGGCTGTAGACCCTCAGATAATCTTAAAGTTTCTCTTCTACCCTACCTACTCCCCTGCCTACCACCATTGATATTGTCTGCTGGGGAATCCTGAATTATTTCCAAAGTCTCTGGTGCCCTCAGATCCTCTGATATCTATATCTCTATTCTATATCTCTAGCTGCATTAGCTTAATAACAGCCCTAGAGATATTATTCTAAACATAACACTAACCCTCAGTGATGACCTGTTAGCATATTACAGGTAAAACTTCTTGCCTTAGTTGTGATGAGGAGTTGAGGTATGGGGTTGGGGGGAAGGAAGGTAGGGGATACTATGCTTATATATACATTTATAGGCACATAGGTGGCATTGCCTGTGGCTTGTATCTGAGCTGGGCCTATTTACCAAGTCTATACTTAGGCTGCCTGACTATGAACTCTAGGGAGAGAACTCCTGGGGTAGGCCCTTTCTATCAAATATCTGAGGTTTATCCCTGCTCTGTTGTGAAAGGAAAGGAATCCTGAGTCTGGCTATATCTGCCTGACTGTTAAGTGGCGCTTGGGTAAGTTCATCCAAAGGAGGAACCATCTTAAATCTCTTCGTATGCATCCGAGATGGTTCTGGGGACACCAGAGATGCTTAGTTGATTAAGATGACTATATTGAGGACTATGTCAGATAGTGGAGGGAAAAGGTTTGCCCTCTGAGTGTATCAGTGTTTATTTGAATGTGTGTATACAATGCCAGTCACTCAGTGAACAAGTGTGAAAAAAATCACCTACTATGTACAGAGATTCTTGGGCTTACTACTATAAAAAGAGGACATAAGCCCCTTGAAGGCAGGGACCATTTTCATTTTTATCTTTGTATCTTCAGTGCCTGGCCCTTAGTAGTTGCTTATTAAATGGCTTATTGAACAGTAATAGAAATAGCAAATGGAACACCTGTCTTCAAAAAGCTTATAGTCTTTAAACAGGAATGAGACGAAAATAGGGGGGGAAAAAGAGATATAAAAAATTGGCCAAGTGTACGTGGCATGGCTGGGAGAGTACAAACACAGGTCCCCAGAATTCAAAGCATCCAACTACCGAGAAGACATTGAACAGTGGAGCTCATTTACATAGCACTTTAAGATGGACCAATGTCTTTCTCAGAACAAGTTAGATAGTACAAGTATTATTATCCCCATTCTATAGGTGAGGTTGAAGGAGACTTGACCATGATCACACAGCTAATAATGTCAAGGCTGGGATTTGAACTCAAGTCTCCTGACCTCAACTCCCGAGTCCATTCCACTACTCCAGGCTGCCTCTCCTTATACTATGGGCACATTGTTCCTAATCAGTAAGGTGAGTAGCATTGCCCATTCTCCAGTTCCTCTCCTTACTGTATACGTTTAAAAACACACACGCGTACACACACCTCTGAAGGTAGAGAGGGAACTACAGGATTTTATAAGAGGTTTAGGTAAAGAAAGAGATCAGAGGAGACAAGTGACTCACTCACAATCCCATTCCTGTCTATCTGTTCCTCTTACCCAACCCTTCCTAAGCCCCTGAATAGATGGGCTAGGCTAAGGAAAGAAGAATTGACGGGCGTTCTATCTTTGCGGACCTACCTCCCTCTGTAAATATGAGTGAGAATGAAGGAACAAGCAGAAGTTAAATCAAAATGGCCTAGTCTGTGACCATGATCCACAACTCCCCTCCCCTACACATGAGCGTCCTCCCTTCCCCTACCTTTGTCCTTTGCTGATCCCACTTTTTACTCAGTACAGGAGTCCCACCCTTGCCGTACTCAAGTTCTCTTACAATTACCATTCTGACAGTTCAGCAAGATGCCTCTATTCACTCAGCAGGTGTATTTGGAAGCAGATCAAAAGTCTGGGTTCTGCGTAATTATTCTGACTTCACCCATGGAGTTCCAGTCATCACATGGTTAATCACACACCTGGGATAAGCTGGACTGCTACTGCATTAGGGCCCTTTCTCCCATGACAATCCTCACTCAAAAATCTAGGCTTCTCTACCAGTAATAATGATCAATGGATAGAGTGCTGAGCCTGTAGTCAGGAAAATTCATCTTCCTGAATTCAAATCTGGCCTCAGACACTTACTAGCTATGTGACCCTGGGCAAGTCACTTAACCCTGTTTGCCTTAGTTTCTTTATCTGTAAAAAAAATGAGCTATAGAAGGAAATGGCAAACCACTCCAGGATCTTTGCCAAGAAAACCCCAAATGGGGTCACAAAGATTTGAATATGACTGAGACAACTGAACAGTGATAACAATGCTATAAAGCTATCAAGATAATGTATAAATCTAGGCAAGAGTCAAGTCCCTGGCCTGGCCCCTTCTTCCCCCTGAATCTGTAATTATATTTTTCAAGGGTGATATTCAAGGAACTCAGCCTTGTGGATGAATGAAAAGTATTCAAAGCTCTCTCCCTAGGATCCCCACTTTTAGTTTAATTATGTGATCCAAGTGGATGGTGGGGCTTGGAGATTGTAAATGAGGGCAGAAGCTTGTGAAGGCCTGAATGGCTGCTCCTTAGGGAAAAGAACGTTAGAGTTGGAGTCCAATGACCTAGATCCTGGAACAATAGAGTGCCGGATTTAGAGTCAAGAGACAGAGTTCAAATTACAGTTCGGCAGGGTACTTGCTATCTTGTGTGATCTTGGGCAGGTTTCTAAAACCTCTTGGAGAGCCTCAGTTTCCTCATCTATAAAATGAGGGAATTTGACTAGATGATCTATGAAGTCCCTTCCCACTCTAATTCTGTGATCTTCTGAACTCTCCCAGCCATGACATAGACACAATCCCAAGTGTTGTTTGTTTTAATTCAACAAAGATTTATTACGCATATTCTATGTGCTAAGTGCTAGGGTGGAGTTTGTGTTCATAGATAACTTGGATATGACCTGTTTACTACACTCAGGAAGCTCAGTCAGCTCAGGTGATAACACACAAACTCAGATGACTATAACACACTATATTATATAAGTTCATAAGCAAGTTATGCTATGTGAGGTTTGAGGAGAAGTTTCCTAAGTTTCATCTTTTCAGTTTGTATCCCCAGCACTTAGCATAGTGCTTTGTATGAGGCAAGGACTTAATAAATGCTTTCTCTTTCATTCATTCATTCATTCATTTCTCATTGGGAGGGAATTAGGAGAGGACATGTCCCAGAGCATTGGGCTGGCACTCTGACCCAAGGGGTACTGATTTTTCCCCATCCTCAAGATCCTCCTGATCTAAACATAGCCTCTAAGATGCCTTTGAGCTGTCAATCCTTGACTATGACTCTAAGCAACAGAAGTAAGGACTCCAGAGCCAGTACTTTCTCTACAGGATTCTACAACAGTGTGTGAAGATAAGGTGCTGAACACAACTTGGTTGGTGGAGGGGAGGGAGAGAGGATTTGGGCTTTGGAAAAAGGAGAAGAGTCAAATGGTTCTAGCTTGAGAAGTCCCTGAAGAAGGAACAT